GACTCTCTGGTCCACGGGCTGACGCTCTAACCGCTGAGCCAAACCTGCCAGGGCAAGAACTTTTTTCAGTACAAACTTAAAACATTCTATTAAGTGCTAGCACGAGAATGACTTCTTCTGGTCTTCATGACGTCACTGTAAGCAGGTATCACTCTAATTTTTCACACCAGATGCGAGAGGTAACTCGCCCACAACCACAGAACTAGAAAATGGCAAAGCTGGCACTCAGACTAATCCCCACCACACACCTCCTCTTATTAGCTGGTACTAGACATGCTGCAGTTGTGGAGTATTCGAGGAAGAAATGAGGCACTGCTGGGGCAACAGGAAGATGCTCTTTTTTGAGAACATCCAATCCTGAGACATGATCAACTCTTCTTTAGTAATGAAGTAAACGGAGAAGGGACCTGGAGGGCACTAAATCTGGTCCACCCTAGGTTTTCACTTAATCCTGTGCTTGGGGAGCACCAAGGGCCCTTGGCAAACACCTCAAGGAGTCTTGCCCAAAGAACTTCACGAGTATTGTGAAACTCAGTTATTCACAGATTTATTAACGGTCTCTGGAATGTGTTTCAGACAGCACTAAATATAGGATGCTAATCTGCTGTACAAGGCAACTCAAGTTCAACCAAAGGTTTCCTCTAGTCCAACTCCAGTAGATGCTTGGCTGGCACCTGCCATATTCTAAAAGCAAAAGACCAGGAGAACACAATCCTGCAGTTCTAAAGCTGAACTAGATCTCACATCCTAAAGAAAAATCTCCAGATCACTACAAGGAAATATCCACCCCAAGAAGTAGATCCTTAAGGAAGAAAAGATTCCTCAGAATGGCTATTTCTAGGAAATAATAAACTTGATCAGATTTTGCATCACATTCAAGAATATCTTAAGCATTTTTTTAATTTAAAAAGTTTTTTTTTTCTTTATTGATTTTAGAGAGAAAGGGAGAGGGAGAGATAGAAACACTGATGAGAGAGAACATCGATTGGCTGCCTCCTGCATGTCCCCCACTGGGGATCGGTGACCGGGAATCAAACTGGCAACCTCTTGGTGTACGGGTCAATGCTCAACCACTGAGACACATCGGCCAGGCTATTTTAAGCATTTTAAGGGGTAACAGTCAACATTATGAAAATAAACATTTATCCTCTGGATTCTGAGGTATATGGAAATAAATTAGTTCAACGCATTACCTACCGGAGAGCTGGCGGGCTTTCTATTGAACTGAAGAAAACAATCCAATGCTTGAGACAGAGTTGATGGAAAGCCTTAACATATGTCAATTAGTGAGCGGAAGTCTATTTTTAAATTCAGCTCTCCTCACTAAAATTGCTAAAAATGTCCACAGGGTATGGAGATTAATGCCCATGGCTATTTTCCACTTACCATGATGTCATAAAGTAGCTACTGTGTTAAGATAGACAAAATACTAAAAAAAGGTCCATTTTAGAAGTATTTTTCTTTTGAAGGCAAAACAAAAAAGGTAGGTGAGCTCTGGCCGGTTTGGCTCAGCGGTTAGAGGTTAGAGTGTTGGCCCGAGGACCGGAGGGTCACAGGTTTGATTCCTGGTCAAGGGCATATACCTGGAAGGCAGGTTTAATCCTGGCCCTGGTCCGGGCATGAGAGGGAGGCAACTAATTGATATGTCTCTCTTATCAATGTTTCTCTCTCTCTCTCTCCCCCCTCCACTCTCTAAAAATCAATGAAAAAAATATCCTCGGGTGAGGATTAACAAAAACAAAAACAGCCCTGGCCGGTTTGGCTCAGCGGTTAGAGCGTCGGCCTGCGGTCCAGAGAGACCCGGGTTCGGTTCCTGCTAAGGGCACGTACCTCGGTTGCAGTTTGTCCCCGGCCCTGGTTGGTTGTGTGGGTGGCAGCCACTCGATGTGTCCCTTTCACGTCGATGTTTCTCTCTGTCTTCTTCTCTCTCCCTCCCACTCTATCTGAACAAATGGAAAAACGTCTTCGGGTGAGGATAAAACAAACAAACAAACAAAAAAACAAACAAAAGGTAGGTGATGAAAAGTGAGAATTACTATCTGCAGGAACAATAGGTTTCCCAAGTACATCAATCAGAAAACTAAGCGATTAAGTCAAAGCTAACTATACAGAACTTTTTATACTGATGAGACTTAAAAATACCAGATCGCAGGAAAATTAACTTGAAAATTCAAATTACTCAAGATTTCCGAGCCGTTTTCTACTCTCTGTTAACCTAATTTTATCTGAAGTAGCAAAACCAATTTTTCCTTAGCAAGCACATTGCTTTTTGTTATTTATGAAGTTAATGCTTACTTTCCCATGTTTAGTATCCTCAGTTCTTAAATGCAACCATGATTAGAAATGGGAAATAACAATTTTTTTTAATCCTTACCAGAGGATATTCCTTCAAATATTTCAGAAAGAGTGGGGAGAGGAGAAAGAGAGAGAGAGAGAGAGAGAGAGAGAGAGAGAGAGAGAGAGAGAAACATCGATGTGAGAGATACACATCAATTGGCTCCCGCATGACCCTGACCAGGGCTGTGACAAACCACTACCAAGGTACGTGCCCTTGGCCAGAATCAAACCCACGACTCTTTGGTCCATGGGCTGACCCTCTAACCACTGAGCCAAACTGGCCAGGGCAGGAAATGACAATTTTTATATAAACTAATAATGAATTTGTTCTACTCGTCTCTCAATGGATGGATGCTATGCAAGAGAAACATTTTCACCAGTATAATTTTAAGCATATGGATGACTCTCGGGGGATATCTCCACACACACATAACCTCTTTCCTCTCTAAGCCCCTCAGATTTAAGAAAAAATTAAGAAACTTTTTTTTTTTTTATCCTCACCCGAGGACATTTTTTGATATTTTGTTCAGATAGAGTGGGAGGGAGAGAGAGAGAGAAACATCGACGTGAAAGAGACACATCGAGTGGTTGCCACACACTCAACCCAAGCAGGGCCGGGGACAAATTGCAACCGAGATACGTGCCCTTAGCGGGAACCGAACCCGGGTCTCTCCAGACCGCAGGCCAACTCTCTAACCGCTGAGCCAAACCGGCCAGGGCAGAAAGAATTAAGAAACTTTTCATGGACAAATGGTTCTTTAAAGTACAAATGCACTCTGCATTACTCCTTTAAGTATTTTTTATACAAAGGCAGAGTATGAATACACTGATAGGCTTTCACTCTTCTCCTGGGTGGGGAAAAACGAAGCCAGTTCCTCGGGCCAGGGAGCCTGGAGGAACAGAGGCCACACAGCAAGGCTTAGCCAGAGAGGGGCAGGGAGCCCAGCACAGGGGCTGGGGGCTCAGCAGAGCCTTTGGCCATTTCTACAAGGATATAGGAGCAGGTACTGTGATCTTGGAAATGTTTTTCTTTTTCCACAAATATGTTCTTTCCTTCCAAATATTTAGTATGCTTTCTTCTGAAAAGCTAAGCCCGACTCGGCCGTGGGAAGGATCTGGTTCTAGGCTGAAATCTACAGTAAAGGATGGCACCTGTTCCTGGAAGCTGGTGGGAGAATCAAGTGTAAGAATTCCACAGGAGGTCAAGTGAGGGAAAACGATGGCTTTAGGACTATATTTAAAATGCCTCCCCAACTAGCCTTAGCCACACCTCGATGCCAGGTAGCTCTGGCCTTGAACTGGAGATAGCACACACTCATCCGAGTTCCAGGAAAAGACAGCCCTTCTGTGCTGAATGCAGGAGACGATTCTTACACCTTTTTGGAACAAGAGTGCCCACAGTCCTGGGTTCGAAGGTGAGGACAGCGAGAAAGATAAAGTCACTGATCTATCGCTGTTTGTGTTCCCCAAACATATTCACGTCAGCTTCAAAAGTTAAGGGGTATTTGCCCTGGCCGGCTTGGTTCAGTGGTTACAGTGTCCACCCTAGGTCCAGAGAGACCCGAGTTTGCTTCCCGCTAAGGGCACGTGCCGCGGTTGAGGTTTGTCCCTGGCTCAGGTTGGGGTCATGTGGGTGGCGGCCAGTCGATGTCTGTCTCTCATGTCGATGTTTCTCTCTCTGTCTTCCTCCTCTCTCCCTCTTGCTCTACCTGAAGATGAATGCAAAAATGTCCTCGGGTGAGGATTTGAAAAAAAAAAAAAAGTTAAGGGGTGTTTGAAGAAAGGGGAAGAGAGAATTTGGTGGATTAAATAAAGCACATCTATTATAAGCAATGTCTGAAAAAATTTTTCTATTCGTCAATAGAAAATGATCGCTGTGTCACAAACCCTTTCAATAGATTATGCCAATTGCTACAAATTTCCTTCATGTAGTCAAAGAAAAAGACAGTAGGAAAGATAGGATTCTCTGAACTCTGCACAAAATAATTCATATAAAAAATGCAATGGTACCATCAAATTTCCCCATCAGCTTCCTATGAGCGGGTTAAAAAGTTTAACCATAATAAGTTCCATGTATAAACATTACAGACAGGCTCTGTAAAACTTGGGGAATCTACGTTTTGCTTTGCTCCCGTTACTTCAAATACAAAATAAATATTTTGTATTAATATAAGACATAAATTAGTAAAATCATTTAGGTAATCATGCAAGTTGGAGTTAGGACTGATTCTTGCCTTTAGAAATAGTCTGAGTACTGTTCCATTTTTCCTTTATGATTCTGCAGGCTACAAGCTTTCTGGTTGGTTGAGAAGCATTACACTGTGCTCCCATTACCAACGATGTTTGTTTTTACCCTTAGTGATGAAGGTTTCCCAGGCAACAGTGGCTTTATTCCACGGTGTAGCTGCAGCAGCTACATGAGCTCCACACCGTGTGGGGGCAGTGCTGTGCATAGCTGCAGCCTCCTGAAGCCGGACACCAACACACAGGTTCTCAGACGCTGGCTAGGCAGGCCCCAGCCCACTGCACGCCAGCCCAATCCCAAGACTGGATGCATTAACCCAAACTGGACAAAAACTCACTCTCATTCAGGTATAAGACATGGGCTTAAAAAAAAAAGGGAGAGTTCATAAGTCTTAAAAAAGTATCCTCTCCAGATAAAAAAAGGTTAGTTAAAACCGTTTAATAGGAACAATCTTGGATAAGCAGAAACAGCTTTGATTGGGAGGATTATGGCAACATACGACTGGGAAGAACTCCACAGGGACGATCAGATTGGACAGTCCGTACCTCTTCTAGAGACTGCATTAAAAAGACGACTGATGGGACATTCTGCCCTCTTTCAAGGCACCCGTCACTTCTGAAAACCGCCAGCTTTCCACACGCGAAATGACATATTTTATTTACATTTAAAAATAGCTTTTCTTCTTCAGCCTAGTGGAAATGCCCAGAGGCTAGACACTGACATCCCTTCCTAACACAGATGCAGAACAGCTTTATTGATCTCTGGATTTGTCCAGTCATTCCGAATGTCATCCAAGTGGTTGTCGAAATCGACGAGTGTTTCGTAGGACCGGCTATCCAGGAGTGACGCCGAGATTCTCTGGGCCTCGGGCCAGTCTTCACAGTAATCACTACAAGGTGAAACAGGAGAAATCAACCTCTTAACATAAAAAAATTTGGCTTTTCTATAGAATCAACAGAAAACCAGCCACATACAGAATGGTATAAAGAAAGACAATAATGCACATAAGCAAATGTGTACATTTTAAACACACAAAGATGTATATCAACAACATAAAACCTGGTTAAAATAAGACACCCTCCAAATGAAATGCTGACAAAGCTGGAGGCAGATGACTGATGCTTTCTGAGCAATTACAAAGAAACTAAACCATATGCCTGGAAAGAGGGCTTGGCTTAGGACAGGTGCCCTGGGGTTTGGGGTGGAAAGACTCTGAGTAACACTCAGGTTCCCTCTGCTGTTCCGAAGCCATACTGGCCTCATCCCCGAGGGGCCAAGGAACACGCAGGACTTCTGTATGAGGGCTGTACACTCCTCTGGAGAACAAGCTAACTGGAAAACATAGGAGGTTGGGATCAGCTTTCCTGTCAGATCTGGGTAGCTGGGAACAGGCCCCAGCATACTCTGCACACAGGTTACCCCGAGAACACAGCACTCACTGGTGTGGGTCTCTGCACCGCCATTTGTTTTCATGGTGTTCATACACATGGATCGTAGGTACCACACAGTCCATCGTAAACTTAGTGTTGTCTACCTGCACATAAGACAAAGGACACAGCTGTGAACAGAGCTAACAAAAAGTCAAGGCCAGCACCTTCCTGGAAGTCTTTAGGTACCTCCTTGTGACCCTGCCTTAAGGTGTGCAGACACTGCAAATGTGATGTGTGGCATCGTGCCACAAGTGTGGCCTAAGGTGAACTGTGTGTTATGCAGGATAAATACTATCTCACTGTTTTCCTCACAAAAGTGGACCTTTCAAACATTACCTCTCCCCTCCCTGTTAGAATTCTGTCTGAATTGAGTTTCTTTAACAAGGCTCTTACGTTAGCTACCTATCCACCCGACTTCTTCCTTCCTCCCTCTTTCCCTTCAGGCTATGCTGGCTATTCTAACTGAATGGTTCTCACACTCGGGTGTGAATCAGAATCAGCTGGACGCATATTAAAACAGACTGCTGGGCCCCCATAACCTGTATTTCTAGAAAGTTCCCAGCTGGTGTTGATGCTGCCAGCATGGGGATCTCACTTTGAGAAATGACCCCCCTTTCTGGAGATCTGTGTGCTGTGACTGCAAAAGGTGGCAATGGTCTGAAGTATCTGAGAAAGAAAGATGGCTTACACAGCAAAGCTCTGTTAGCAAGGAAATGTCAGTAGCCATCCTGTAACTAGAAAACACAACCGGCAATCAAGTGACTTACCATGATGAGAGCAGTATCACTGAAGCCCTCAGCAATTCTGGAGGCCACCTTTTCTGCAACCTGGTTTGGGCTGCAAAAGAAGCAGCAGTGAATTTACCACGTCCTAGTTAATGCCACTCAACACTGTCTACAGTAAACAAACAATGATAAAAAGACCAGTGGTCCAGCTGCAATGACTAGTGCTGAGGACAGGGAATGCCATATGGGCAATGGGGGGCACAGTGCAAAGCAGGTCCTGTCTCACCCCACCAGGAAGCCCTTGTGAAGGGGATCCTGAGATGGCACCTTCTACATGGAAGGGCTCCCTGGAACACCTCAGGCTACTGTTAAGCTCCAGGCTGGATGCCTCACGGGCCCCTTTTCCATTTGCAAGTTTCCAAAGTGACTCCATCCACCTCTTAGCTGCTGGCAATTGAGTCACTTGCTTTTTCTTTTAAAATTAAAAAAAAAAAAAAAAAAAAAAAATCCCAAGCCATTCCAAATCTTCTCCATGTTCATCACCTTTCAATTGCTAGCTCTGGCCCTGTCCCATCTCAACCTTGATAAATGACAACTTTCTACCTTAAGTCAATAAAACAAATTATAGAGTGGTTCCCACATCACCCGGGCTACGCCCCATACACAAAGTTATTTTTCTATCCTATTTCGGGAAGAAGCCTCTTCTCACCCACGGGCCCATCCATCCTGACCTCCTCAGGGACTTACTTAGTCTCTCTGTCAAATCTGACAGCTCTGCTGTCAAATCTGAATTAAGTCCTTTCCTATTTAGGAAAATAAAGTTCAAAATACAGTAAACCCTGGATTTTGTGGACTTTGATTTAACTGACAAAGTTTCCGGTTTGTGTGTCATGTGGAAATTAACACCTGTTAATTTAAAAATACTTTCAACCAAGATTTGCGTATAATTAACAGGTTATTTTGTGTTATTAATTCACTGCTATTTTTTTTTTATCCTCATTGGAGGACATTTTTCCATTTCTTGTTCAGATAGAGTGGGAGAGAGTTCACTGCTATTTTTAACAAATTTTGTGAAGAGGCCATATGCTGGAAAAAACACTGTAGTAATTTTGATGACATAAATAAATATTACATATCTACAACTACAGTCTACATATTCAAATCCAAGAGTCACTGTTCATAAGCAATGTTTGGCGAACGATTAGCAGGCGATCACATCACATCACATGCGGTAATTGGTTCTGTTGTGTGGTTTGACTTTCTGTAGCAGTTTTTTGTTGCTGAAAGTATTCCAGACGTACCATCTTTTCCCCCTCAGTGATCCCTCCTCCCAGCTCCCACTCCCATCTCCTGCTTTCCCCAAACTATTGTCTGTGTTCACTGGTTGTTTGCCATATGTATATATTTGGTTTATCTCTTCCCACCCTCACCACCCCCTATCTCTCTGAGGTTTGTCAGTCTGTTCTCTACTTCCATGTCTCTGGATCTATTTTGATCGACAGCTTATTTTGATCCTCATTTGAGGATATATTTCCATTTATCTTCAGACAGAGTGGGAGAGAGGGAGAGAGAGAAACATCAATGAGAGGGACACATGGATTGGTTGCTTCCTGCATGACCCCAACCAGGGCCAGGGATGAAATGCAACCAAGGCATGTGCCCTTGACCGGAATCAAACCCACGACTCACTGGTCCGCAGGCCGATGCTCTAACCGCTGAGCCAAACTGGCCAGGGCTCGACAGCTTATTTTGTTCACAATATTCCATAAATGAGATTATGTGGTACTTGTCTTTCTCCTGCAGCAGTTAAAAAAACATTTTTTTTAAATCCTCACCTAAGGATATTTTTTCCATTGATTTTTAGAGAGGGTGGAAGAGGGTGGGTGCGAGAGAAAGAAATATGGATATGAAATTCACTGGTTAGTTCAATTGGTTGCACTCTAACTGGGGCAGGAGATCAAACTTGTGACCCTTGGGTGGGGGGGCGGTGCTCTAACCACGGAGACATACTAGCCAAGGCTGCTAGTTCCTGCATGTACCTGCAATGTTCCTGTGTGCACTAAGCCCCGCCCCAGCCGTGTGCATTTGTTTACTTGTGGTGCCTGGTGAATGCTCATATTTACTAGATCTATTCAGTATACATTTAAAATTACAGTAATACATATAGAAAACTTTTCTGTGAAATTAAACTTTTCATATTTCATTTTAATTACGCAAACCTGTCTACATAAGTAAAAACAGGTAAACTAACTCATTTGTCAATTTTTTAACATACGCATTGGGGAAAACTACTTTATTATGTAATAGACTTCTGGCTTTAATGGACACCCCCTCGCCTGAATTAGTCTGTTACACTGGGGTTTTACTGTACCTTAGAGCCTTGGGTGTGGCCTCACCCTACCTTTCTAGACTCCCTCGCTGGCATTTCCTGTGTGGGCATCCCATGCCCCTGCCCCTTTTCCAGCTGCTGTCTTCATCATGCTGTCCCCTCTTGGAATGCTCTTCCTCCTGGTCCCCACCTGACAAGACCCTGTCCACTTCTGAGTGCCCAGTTCAAATGACTCCCTTCCCCGTGGGCTTCTCCTCCTCCCTGCTCCTGCTGTCACAGCCCTCTGCACCACCCTCATGGCAACTGGCCTGCTGTTTCGTGTCAGTCCTGCGTTAGCAACCCAGCAACCTGCAGGCAAGGGCCAAGAGTCTTTAGCTGTGCTCAGCACAGAGCTTGGCCGCTCAGGGCAGGCATTCTGTGTCCAGTCAAAGACCAAGCCTGACATGGGCCCCATGACTGGCTCTAGATGAGATGGGAATGCAGACATTGAGTCATCAATACATGGGAGGTAGACAGAATCAAATGGACAGGAGGTCTTAGGAGGAGTGAGGCTAGTAAGAGATGTACCAGAGGAGAAATATGTGGTGCTCCTGGGCTCAGAGAAAGAACAGTTAGAGGTAGTGGGAGAAGCCAAGGAACTGAGCGCCTGTGCACTGTCATCCCACGGGAGGCTTCAATCGTTGTTTTGAGCCCTGCATTTTGCTTGTTACTCTGCCTCCCTCAGAATCCCTACTTGACCCAGTCCTCCAAGGGTAAGAGGGTTTAAGTCCCTTAGGTGCATTTGTGTCTCATCAGTAATTGCAACACCTGGTTACCAGCTGATTGTATTATTTCCAAAAATGCTATTGAGTCCAACCTCTCACCTATGCTGGGCAAGTGGACATAGTTCCAGGAGCAGTTTAGGTCTGAGGTCCTTCACTGCATCTCCTAACTGCCTGGACACTGGAGTCAGTTACTGTGAGTAAAGCATGTCAGTGCCTCCCATTATATACCATGCTCCTGGCTTCCCATCTGCCCTGGCCCCTGGCTGGAGGAACTCAGAGGGAGGTCAGGGCATGACTTCTTTGGGGCCCGTCTTGTGAGGTCACATCAGGCTGGCTGCTGGCGATGTCCCTCAACCAAAGGACATTGTTCCTCTTAAGGATGACTTCTTTTTTCTTAAAAAGTTTTTTCTATTACCATTGATATACAATATTAAATCAGATTCAGGTGTACAACATAGTGACTGGACATTTATATAACTTAAGAAGTGATCATCCCATAAGTCAAGTATTCATTTGACACCACACATAGTTATTATAATAGTACTGAATACATTCCCTATGCTGTACTTTATATCCCTGTGACTGTTCTTATAACCCGAAATTTGTACATCTTAATCCCTTCTCAAGGTGAACTTCTTTCTTTCTTTCTTTTTTTTTATCCTTACCCAAGGATATTTTTGCATTTATCTTCAGATAGAGCAGGAGGGAGAGAGAGAGAGAGAGAGGGAAACATCAAAGAGAGAGAATATCGACATGCCCCCCACTGGGGATTGGGCCCACAGCCTGGGCATGTGTCCTGACCGGGACTCGAACCAGCGACCTCTTGGTGCATGGGTCAATGCTCAACCACTGAGCCACAGTGGTTGGACAAATTATCCTAATTTTAGTGTGTCATCTGTTTTTCTGTTGGGACTGAGACTGAGGCAGAAATAAAACAGAATTCTCTGCTTTGCTCATTAATGAAAAAGGAACCAGTAGCCAATATAAAGGAAGCAGCACACACCATCTTTTCATTATAGTATCAGACCTTCAGAGCACCAAATCTAAAAGTTGTTTTATTTCCAAAAGAGAGGGGGCCCTGGCCAGTTTGGCTTAGCGGTTAGAGCGTCGGCCTGCGGTCCAGAGAGACCTGGGTTCGGTTCCCGCTAAGGGCGCGTACCTCGGTTGTAGTTTGTCCCCGGCCCTGGTTAGTCGTGAGGGTGGCAGCCACTCAATGTGTCCCTTTCATGTTGATGTTTCTCTCTCTCTCTCTCTCTGTTCCTTTCTCTCCCTCCCACTCTACCTGAACAAAAAATGGAAAAATGTCCTCGGGTGAGGATAAAAAAAAAAGAGCGGGGTATTCTTTCCTATGTTCTGCCCTACATCATTCCTAGTCTGAGATTGGGAAGCAAGGCAAGAGCTGAGTGGGGACAGAAATTGGAGGTCCATGACCATTGCTTTCATTGTATGAATTTTCTTCAAGCAAAATAAAGAAGATACAAAACAGAATCCCAAAGCTAATATAAATGTTTAGACTTTCTTTGTTTGGAATTATCCACCCTACAGTTCCCCTCAAATACTATAACCAAGTGGGGATGAGTTTTGTTCTCACAGATTTCCAATCTCGAGCCTACAGAAGATCCAAAAGCACATCAGAGATGTCTCTGTCTGTCACATGATCATTCTTTCAGACCACAGAGAGTTTTTGCATGAACATACCTGGCATCCTTTACTCGTTCATTAGCTTGATAATAACCAGCAATCACATAGCTATTATCTTTGCACCATGAATCAATCTGAAAGAGGAACAAAAATTGGGAAGAAAAGATAAATAATTTTCTCTTAAGTATCGAGTTTTAATAAACATAGAAGATCCCTTCCTCCCAAATGCTGGGACAAGACACTACATAAACCTGTATCCTTCTCCCCAGAAGAAGGGCTACATAACAAAATGAGTGTTCACAGAAAAAAGGTCACACCAACTTGCTTTCCACGGTCCATGTGAGGCCAGAGAAAGCACAGAAGAGCACAGGCCCCTCACTCTCGCTGAGGTGGTATGCCTTCCCATAGATGAGGACCCTGTAATGGCCAGAAGGGGTGGGGCTAGACACGAAGAATGACCTTCTTGTCAAGTCCCTTCAGAAGGCTCCAATGTTGAGACATGTTAAACAGGTGTGGTGTAGAAGGAAGGTAGGGGAGAGACCATCTTTACCCACCTTCTCTTACAATATAAAGAACTGAGGCATTCCAGAGCTTGAAAAATACTTAAGATCATTTACATCAATCCTTCACAGATACACACACTAAAGCTCAGAGGTTCTAAATTTGCACAGCTAGGTATCAGAGGCAGGATGGGAATCTTTTGAAACTAAGCCTTTTAATACTACACTTCGATATCCCTAGCAACATGTATGAACAATCCTTCATGCTGGAATGTGGGATAAACAGGCACATATGCACAGGTGGGCAGATGCAGGCAGAGATGCACACACTCAATTCCCTGTGGCGTGCTTTAAAATGGGAGCATGGTGGCCAAAGTTTTTTTGTCTGTTTTATGCCACTCTTCTCTCATCAGATTTAGCTTTCTGCAGGTCTAATACCATTATTAAAAACAAAAGGTCATCCTAACAGTTTTGCCGTAATGGAATTTTAATAATACACTGCGGTACTTCTATCCTCAGTCTGCAGAAGAAGAAAAACATTGATCCTAGCTGTTTTCACAGAGAATTCATTGGTTAAAAATGAATTCACGTTTCCTTTTTTCTTTTTCATTTTTTGTTTAAAATAGCCTTATGGCTCTCTCTCTGTTGAATTCTGGTTTGGACCTCAGTCTCCTTTATGGCTAAAAGCAGACATTACAAGACGGTTACAGTTCAAGGTTCCCTGGCTCAGAGGAGAGGATTAGAATAATTCTGGCCTCCTAAGAGCTCATGAGTTACAATATTGGGTCAAAACCAAGGCTTACTGAACCAATTAGATGTTCTGGTCATCCACCCAAAAGATTAGGGCTATGTCTCCAAAATATTTATAATGGTTCTTTCACTGTAACTGTGTTGCAAATGACTCCAGAATTACTTATACTTTGTTTCCATTACCCTTTAAAGGAATGTGTTCTAGAAACTTTCTATTGTTGCTTACAGCAGCAATTTCTTTCCTTAAAACAAACTTATCTCTATGTAACACCAAAGGCATACATAGCCTAGCTTTAAAATGTGGCATTTGGCCCCATTCTCTAAACTCAGATCCATTAGATTAGTCTCCCCTCTTTAGTGTAGCCTTTGTTTCTAATCAAAGACCAGCTCTTGAGTGTGTCCTCACTCAAGGTGACCCTGTCTCTGCCCACTTTGGCTTCTCTCTCCTGCCCTGTAGTATGGGTTGTCCTTATATCCCAAGTCAGATCTAGAGTTGTGTCCCAAGTTTGGTTACTGTCTTAGTTTACTATTACCCTTTGTAACAAGTTACACATGCTTAGTAGCTTAACACAACACAGATTTATTACCTTATAGGTCAGAAGTCTACAATGGGTCAGCAGGACTGATTCTTTCTGGAAGCTCTAGGGGAGAATCCTATCCTTGTCTTTTTTAGCATCTCGAGATCACCTACATTCCCTTAGCTAGTGGCTGCATCACTGTGACCTCTGTTCTGTCATCACATCTTTGACTCTATGTGAACTTCTGCTTCTCTCTTATAAAGAAAGACCCTTATACTAGATCCATCAGATAATCCAGGATAATCTCCCCATCTCAAAACCCTTAATCTCATCTGCTAAGTCCCTTATGCCATACAAGGTTCCAGGGATTAGGACATGGACATTTTGGGGGGCTATTTTTGGGCTGATCACAGCTACATTTACTATGAGGATAGGATAATTATTTGCTACTAGCAGTATCCTGACCATGCCCAGCAGCAGTTTTTTTTGTTTTGTTTTTTTAAACCTTCACCCGAGAATATTTTTCCATTTATCTTCAGATAGAGTGGGAGGGAGAGGGAGAGAAAGGGAGAGAGAGAGAAACATCAATGTGAGAGAGACACACTGACTGGTTGCCTCCCGCACGACTCCAACCAGGGCCAGGGACAAACCGCAACCAAGGTACATGCCTTTGGCCAGAATCGAAGCCATGACTCATTGGTCCACGGGCTGACGCTCTACTGCTGAGTCAAACCAGCCAGGGCCCCAGCAGCAGTTTTTAGTGAACAGTCTATGCTGCTCCTAGGTCCCACTCCTGGGCTGAAGGCAAAGGTATAGGACTCCTCAGCAAACACAATGCATACCTTGACTTACATTTTAGCTGGTATGGGCAAATTCCTGCATGAAAAACTTCAAGGGCCTAACTAATGTCCAGCATAAAAATAAAGTCATGACCTTGAACTTCTAGCAGAACTCTCTGAAGAGACTATCCTAAAAGTGAACCAGGTTACAAAACTCTGGCTTGGTTTTAGAAACTTTTGAATGATTTGAACAAGAATAACCAAGTTAACCGTATGGATACCTATGATGGGCATGCACAGTCTGTCCACAGGTGTCCAGATTATAGACACAACCGGCTACCAATTGAGGAACGAAGGACACGAAAATGAGGAATGAAGAACTCACTAAGGCCTCCCTGCCAGTCATCAGAGCCCACAGAGGTAGGGCAAACAAGTTGTTTAAAAAAAAATCTTCAGCCCGGCAGGTGTGGCTCAGTGGTTGAGTGTCGACCCATGCACCAAGAGGTCGCCAGTTCGATTCCAGGTCAGGACACATGCCCAGGTTGTGGGCCAAATCCCCAGTTGGGGGCATGCAGGAGGCGGCTAATCGATGTTCTCTCTCATTGATGTTTCTATCTCTCTCTCCTTCTCTCTTCCTCTCTCTCTAAAAATCAATAAAGAAAAAAAAAATTTTTTCACCTGAGGATATGCTTAGAGAGAGGAAGAGAGAGAGGAGAGAGGGAGGGAGAGGGAGAGATCGATTAGAGAAACATCCTATGTGCCTCGACTGAGGATCAAACTGGCAACCCAGGAATGCGCCCTGGCCAGGAATTAAACCGGCAACCTTTTGGTACATAGGATGGCACTAAATCAACGGAACCACTCTGGCCAGGCAACAAGTTCTAATAAGCGGGGAGGAGTTTTCTTCTGTAGTCTTGAAAATGGTACCAGATATGACTAGGCGAGAGTGACTTGGTGTGAAGTAAAAGTCAGTGTGTGGAAGATGAGCAGTGAGGACAGAGGCTGGGGTGGGGATGGGGCAGGCAGGGCCTTCAGAATCTTGCAGTAAACCCCAATGGATCATTAACAAAAATCCTAGTGGATTTCAGTGTAGCTTGCTCAGTACAGGCAATTCGCTTCCTCCCAAGTGGGGCAGGGTAAGGCAAAAGAAGTGAGAAGCTGTTTGACCTGTTCTCAGTGAATCCATTTCCTTTTTCCTTACCTTGCTGCTATGATTCCCTACTCCTGTCAGGCATTTTGTGAAAAATCAAAATCAAAATAAAAGTTCCTAACACCCTGCCCTGGCCGTTTTGGCTCAGCGGTTGGAGCGTCGGCCTGCGGTCCAGAGAGACCCGGGTTCGGTTCCCGCTAAGGGCACGTACCTCGGTTGCAGTTTGTCCCCGGCCCTGGTTGGGTCATGTGGGTGGCAACCACTCGATGTGTCCCTTTCACATTGATATTTCTCTCTCCCTCTCTCCTTCCCACCTATCTGAACAAAAAAATAGAAAAATGTCCTCGGGTGAGAATTAAAAAAAAAAAGCAAAAGTTCTTAACACCCTGAAACCTGATGTCAACTTCGTAAAACTGACTCTGAATACAAGACTCCAAATTCTGTATTTATTCATGCACTTCCTTTTGCTTTCCAGAGAGAAAGAAGGACACTTTAATCTTGGCATGAGCCTGCTACCCTCTCTGTTCAATGCAGTTTTTGGCTCATTCCAGTCCAGACACTAGAACTACCAAAGGCGCTGGGTTCAACCCATTCCCAATTAGACAAAGCACAAAGGAAGTAGCTTCTCTCAGCAAACTTGCTAATATTTGCATATGCGAGGCACCTTACACTTTTCAAAGCACTATCACCCACCTCTCGTGACTATAAAACAGCCATAATGTAGGCAAGGCAGGGAACTGATAAGAGCGCCACTCTGAGGAGGGCTCACCACAAGTTGAGGTTGTCTGTGGCAACAAGCAGGCCTTGGAGGCTAAAAGTAGAGGGGTTGTTAGTTTCATTCAGAAGAAAAGCTCTTTCTCAAGAGAGATGCTGAGTTTTCTATGGAACAAGAAGTAGCTAGATCCATAACAGAAGAGCTCTGGAGGTATGGGATGGGGAACGAGGGGGAAGTCAGGGGAAGAAGTGAAAGAAAGACCAGAGCAGCCACCCCCCTCTCCCAGGTTAGCACGTGAATGTTCTGGAGAAAACAAGGTGCAGAAGGAAATAGGGGGCTAAGGAAGGGGCCAGAGGACAGCAGCCCTTGCAAATGAGCACAAAGGTACACATGGAGGCAGCAGAAAGAATTCTGGATCAAAATCATGGTGATTAGTCCAACTGGCAAATAAGAAAGTCATCTGAGCAGAATGTAATCAAAAGCTGCTCTACTGTACTAGGAAATCAAAGGGGGGAAAGGACAAAAAGGTTTAGAGAAACAGCAGGTTTATGCTAATTTTCCTACTAACATTTTATGGGCTTGTGCTATTAGAAATAATTCCATCACTACCTACGTCAAAGGGTTATAAGGATAAATAAAATAACAGGGATAAGTATTTAAAAAAAGATAAAAAGCATCCAGAAATGCAAGGATTTTTTTTTTTTTTTTTTTTAATAAAAGGAAAATTATAATGAAAAGCCTTTCAAAGGAATCTGCTGCTGCTCTTTGATGGGCTGTATGTAAAGTCAGCCTTTCCCACTTGTCAAAAACAATTACAATATGAAACTCCCTACATAGAAAAAAAACACACATGAGAATAAGGTCTCATTTATACAGTTTCATGGATTTAGGTGCTTTATTAAAATCACATCTTCCATGGCTGATACACTGATAAACTATGGCTCCATGCATTGAGATCTATCATTGTCTTCAGGTTACAAACTTGCTAAGTCAAAAGCTGAATGATACAAATTTACATACCTTAATTGTAACACAAAATTTCTGGATGCACTCAGACTGCAAATTTTCCTTTATAATCTTTTTTCCTATTTGTCCAATACTGAGGCTATGATTCAAAGTTTAGGTCAACGTAAGTAAGAAAAGCCAGCATAAACCACCACTGCTTGGTAAGGACAGAACTTCGGCTGTTTTTACTGCTGAAAAAAAGTTACTGCAGAGAACAGTTTGGACTTAAGTTTGCTGGATGGGAGACTCAAAGGGGAAGTGATGGAAGTTGAGAGTCTGGAGGGTAGAGTGTAATGACCCAGGATGAGAAAGATTAGAACAGGGCCTCAGCAGTGCCCTTTCTCACTTAGCAAGCTGGTGGTAGTAGGCCTATCTTGAGTCAAGGTCCCCTCTGGGCATCTTCCCTCCCCAGGTAAGTGGTTTGGGAAGCAGCCCTGCTCCTTGGGGAACATTCCTGTAAAGGTGACTCACAGGCAGTTGTTTACATTTCATTCTCTCAAGTATTGCCCTCATATCTCATAATAGGAACATAACTGTTTAATTTTGTAAAGGTTACGTAAGAATGAGAATTAGCAATATTTTTATAATTCCAAGTACAGTTCAAGTCTGTCTTTATCTATGTATTTCTGAAAGAATTGTATATGGATTTTTTTTTCTTTATTGATTTTAGAGAGGAAGGGACAAAAAGAGACAGAAACATCAATAAGAGAACATCGACTGGCCGCCTCTTACATGCCCCCCCCACTGGGGATGCGGCCCACAACCTGGGCATGTGCCCTGACCGAGAATCGAACAGGCAACCTCTTGGTATATGGGTTAATGCTCAACCACTGAGCCACACCAGCCGGGCAGGACTGTATATGGATTTAAAACAACGCTCCTTTTCCTCTTACCTTTCTGGCAGTTACCCTGCCAACTCCTGTTCTTCTATCCACCACCCTGTAAAAGCTATGGTTCATAGCTCTCTCATTCCACACACAGTCTTGGCCAACATGACCTGCCCTCACGGCTTCATAAGTCATTGAGAAGTTACTGGTTCCCAATCTATGTCACCAGCCCATTCATCTTCTAAGCTCCTGATGCACTTCAACTTTCAAAACTAGGTTGTCATCACTTTCCCTCAATGAAAGACACTGCTGTGTCTTTCCCCTTGCTTCCTTTTCCCTATGTCCACATCCAATTAGTCACTAAGTCCTGTGGACTGTCCCTCCTGGTTCCCCCTGATCCTTCTCTGCATTCACTCTGCACTCAGTTCAGGCCACCTCTCTGGCTCTAGTCTTGTATGCACTCCTGTCTCCAACATTCTCTTTGCTGCAGGATAGAACCATTACTCCAAGAAAAAAGTCTGGCCATGCAACTCTCCTCCAGTGGTTTCCCTCTGTCCTGGTGATGGTGCCCAAACCCCTTTCTGTGATCTGCAAGGTCCTCTACAATGATATCTGTCCACTGCTCACCTCTCTATCCCTGGCCCTTTTGTACTCTAGCTCTTCCTCCAGCCCCAATTTTGTTCTGGTTTTTGCACATGCTGGTCCCTCTGCCTTGAATACTCTCCTTCTAGCCCCTGGATTACTAGGGCCCAGTGGGCCACTGCTTGCATGTCCCTTTCTCTGGGCAGCCTACCTTTCCTAACTCTGCAAGGAAAGGTTAGCTGACTTTTCTCTTGGACCCCTCACCACTTTTTGCTTAACCCTACATAAGCCACTTATTCTTTCGTATTGTGTTTGTCTGGCTGGCGCAAGTTCAACTGCTAAACAGATACTGTGTTTGATCTTCAGCCATATCCCTCCATCAAAGGCAGGGCACTATTGGAGAATTAATAATCCTGCATTAATGTAACTGGTAAATCTAGTTCCCGGCAAGTACATATCCAATCAACCTGCAATTCCCTTGACAATAGAATAATTAAGACAGCTGGCTTTTCGAAAAGACTTGAATTAAAACATACACATGCACACCCCAGGGATGTTTTGGTACTGACAGTACCTTTCTTCCGAAGCTAAAATGGTTGATTTTATAAATATCACCTACTTCTTATCCATCTCCTGCCTAGAGATGATATGAAGAAATTCACACAATGACGCAGTTTAATAGGCACTCAAAGATGTGCCCAGTAACCTTGGGCCAGGGCCATTTGCCCAAAGGTACTTCCTGCTTCCCAGTTTACATGGGTGTCATAATCAGGCAAATTATGAAATGGTTGGACATACAGAGATAGAATGTCTACCTATATCATCTCAAACTTAACTACTTGAAATTTTTTTTTATCTTCACTCGAGGATATTTTTCTACTGATTTTTAGATAGAGTGGAAGAGAGAAACATCCATGTGAGAGAAACACATCAATTGGTTGTCTCCTGCACAACCCTGACTGGCTGGGATTGAACCTGCAACCCAGGTACATGCCCTTGAGGAATCTAACGTAAGACCCTTTAGTGCACAGGCCCATGTTCTGCCTACTAAGCCAAACCGACGGAGGCCTACTTTTCACATGAATTAAACATGTATTTAGCCATAGTTTATATTTAAAAGAAAAATACACAGTACCGCAGCTCAGATACTGAGGCAGGTCTGAGGCTAGTTTTTTCTCTCTCTAAGGTTTTACCAACTCTCTGGAATTTAAAGGGGGTCTTTATTCCTTCATTGATCCCAATACCCCAGAAACTACTGCTTAGAATTCAATGACCATCCAGTTTATCTGTGGCCTAGGTCCCACTGCGCATCAATTCAGCAGTCATTGCAAGTAGCCTCATAAAAGCGTGGTGGAGAGGAGGTACGACTGCTCCCGCTTTTTCATTTCACGTCTTTAGCTTTTAAAACCATGGCAGCATGCTAGGTAAGTCACTAACAGGAACAGATAAATCCTCCTTACACACCGCTCCCACACTCAAGGGAGCAGTGCCCGTGATGTCAACATCCCCCCTCTAAATGTCTCAACGCTGGGATTCCGGAGTACCGACATGGACAGAACCACGGCCTTGCCACCCACGTCGGGCAGGGGACCGGCTCCGTGAAGGGGCGCACGCATCAGACTCCGGCGTTTCGGTCTCAACGCACCAAAACTTCCCGCGACTCAAAAATCCCAAAGGGAAACGCCTTCGATTCATTACCCAGTTAACGACAGCTGGTTTCTAGAAAGGCTACTGTTTGGAGGAAATTAATGCATTATTCGTCGCCTAAAGCGCCTTTAAAAGCACCCACGGCGGTTAAGGTGGTTCCTTGGGCCGCTGCTACCGCCAGCTGCCATCTGCGGGGCAACTCCTAAGTGCCGGGCAAAGATCTACGCGCTCTCGCGGGTCATCCCGTTCACCGTTCGGCGGCTCAGAGGGTGGGTTCTAGACTCCCGCCGGACACCTGTCAGCTTCCGGCTGGGACCGCGTGGAAACCGGTGGCAAGCCAATCTCGAGGGGCGGTCAGGCGCCGGTCCCACGCTTACCAGGGTGAGGGCCACCTCCAGCATGGGGGCCAGGGCCAGGGTGCCGTGGAACAGGGGGATACAGTCCACGAAGAGAGTGTGGTGGGCGCCCGGGCCGCCCAGGGGCAGGTGCTCCTTGCGCGGCTTCTGCTTCTCAGCCACCAGCAGTCCATTGACGGCGCAGTGCGGGTACTTGGCTCCATGAAGCACCATCTTGCAGTAGGCCTGGGTGGTCAGCTTCACCCCGGGCATGCTGAGCCCGGGAGAGCCCCGGAGGCCCTCGGCGCCGGCTGAGGCCTGGATCCGCTTCCCGGCCGCGCGGCGCCTCAGCGGAGAAGTGGGACGAGGCCGAAGCTGCTTGGAGCGGCCTCCTGACTGGCGGAAGCCCCCACAGGCCCACCCTTGCTTTGGGACGGGGTCCTCCGACAGCGACTCGGGCACGAGAAAGTGATGCGCGCGCCTCCGCCTCCACTCCCGCAACTCTCCCGGCACCGCCGGAAAGCGGTCCCCAGGGCCTGCCGGAAAGCAGCCCGCCTTGGCGTTTTACGACGTTCGCGGCGTTCCCCTTCCTCTCCAGTGACCTCTAGGGCGGCCAGGCGCGAGGTGGAGTCCTCCACGATCCCGTGGTGCTTTGCGGCACGGCCTCGCTCTTTTCCGGTTGCGAGCAGCCGGGGTGTAGAGGGCGGTCGCGACGGGCACGGCGGGCACTGTGGGCTGCAGCTGGGCGGCGGCAGGTGAGACGAGTGGTGGCCGGCCCGCGCCCCCAGGACACTGGGGAGGGTCAGGGGCCGGAAGCCATCGGGTCTGGATGCCCGCCGCCCGGCGGCCGGGCGCTAGCAGGAAGCGGCGTTTGGCCCTCAGACCCGTTGACATTGAGGCTGGTCCGCGGGACTCCAGACTCAGGGCCCGCCGGGTAGCGGCTTATGTGCAGCCCAGAAGCATCCCTCCCGATTCCTCCTGCCCTGCCCCGATCGCGGACTGGCTTCGGGCTCTGACCTTGGATCGCCCGCTAGCCGAGGGCGCGGACCCAAGAGGCGGGTCGTCCCGCTGGCCTTCCGGGAGCGGCCCCGGGGCCTGCGTTGCAGCCTCTGCTCTGACCCCTTCAAACGATGTCTGCGCGACCTTCCCGGGTTAACGGGGCTCGGGTAGAGGCGCTCCGCTTCCCAGCCTGGAAGGCTCCCAGCGTCCACCCACGAGTGGGCCAGGCTGAGGGAGAATAGAGGCGAGACTGGAGGGAGTTCAGCTCTGACGTCATTCTTCTGTTTATTCGACCCTAAGTGGGGTATTTTCTGAATGTGTTGGGGAGCCTATTCATCATCAACAGCCCCCGGAAAGGTCCAATTTTAAAGGAGGGAAGGTAGGGGAGATGGGCCTGAATCTGGAAGGGCCCTGGCGAGGTGTGGGTCATGCAGGCCACCCGTTGTCTGCAGGGATTGGAATCGAACCAGGGCCGTGTTTGCAGCCTCTCTCCCTGAAGACCCCTTCCTAGATACTAAGGTGAATGCAGCCCGTGCCACAATGCTTGTGAGCCCTTCCTTACCCTTTCCCTCCAAACAGTGGAGCTTATGGCACCACAATGCTTTACCGTTTCTAGCTTTTTCTGTTCATCCTTACTGGAGGATATTTTTCCATTTATTTTTAAATAGAGTGAGGAGTGGAGAGAGAGAGAGAGAGAGAGAGAGAGAGAGAAAGCATGATGTGAGAGAGACACACTGATTGGTTGCCTCCCATATGACCCTGACCCAGGATCTGACATGCAACCCAGGTACTTGCCCTTGACTGAGAATCAAACCGGAGACCCTTGGGTCTGTGCTCTAACCGCTGAGCCAGACTGGCCAGGGCCTGTTTCTAGCAATTTTAGTCTTACTAAGATTTATTCTCCTTGTTTTTTAAGGAAGCCAGTTTTCTACTAATTGCTTGAAGTGTGTATGTATTATGGCACTTAGTTTATAATGAAGTTCCATAAAGACGTACTGACTACTAAGAAAAACCTTGCCCTAGATTATTCAGAGTCAGTAATGAACAGACCATTTATATTGGGGAGAAGAAAACAAAAGAATTGCATTGACTTCGAAAATGCACTGGGGCAAAAAGAAGAATCGTTTCTAATGGGTGTTTGCCCTCATTCATAGAGAAGGTGTACATTTTTATCTTTCAGAATGTTGACTACTAGAGTATTTAGCCTAATTGGCAAGCGAGCAATTTCCACCTCGGTGTGTGTACGAGCACATGGTAAGTTAACTTTTCTTGTTTTTGAATAGGCTGAGTTTCATTTTGCTCTAGCTATGTGTAAGGCCCCTTGCTGGAGTTTCGCACACAGATGGCTAAGTCCTCTTATTGAGGGACTTGAGGAGAGCGATATCTTTTAACAGAGGTTACGTAGTTCTAGATTAAAGATTATTTATGAATCATTGAATACTAGTCCTGGATCTTTGCTTACAAAGATCTTTGATTTTTCTCTTTTCCTTCCTCTAAAATTTTTCAAGTTCAAGTTCTACCCCTTTCAAGAGTTCTCAAATATACCTGATATCCTTCCCCTCAAAAAAACCTTTCAACTACTTACCTTTAATACTGTCTACATTATTGGGCATTGGAAGGGAAAGAGCTTAGGCTTCCTAACCTGAGCTGGGTTTAATCTCATTGTAGTTTTAGACTAGCTGTTTACTCTAGTTTTGTAAGGGAATCTGTTTTCTTACCTGAAATCTATATAAAGAGCTTAGTTCAGTGCTTGGTACATAGCAAGTTCAGTTTTGCACTTAGCAAGCATCTTCTTTGATCAGACACTGAGAATAAAAACAATACGAAATGTGGAATCTTTCCATAAGAGTGTTTGCATTCTGGAGAGGGACAGATGTATGAAGACAGGGTTTCAGTAACGGATGGCCCCTGAGGAGAAGCATTTAGCCCAACTAGGAGTTCATAGGAAGCTTCTGGAGGAGAGGTTTTGCTTTGCTGAAAGTCTGGTAGGTTTAACCTCGCATTCAAGAGGGGAATGGCATTCTAGGCAGAGGGAAAGTAAGCAAAAGGACAAAATTCGAATCAGCATGACAAGGTATGTTACTGAGAGGTCAAGTGCAAGGCTTGAGTGATGGATGATGAACTTGGAGAGCAAGGTTTATTCGGGTGAGGGGGTGTCTGTTAAAGCCGAAAGTCCGTTATGTAATAAAATGGGTTTTCTGAATACATGTAAAAAATTGACATGAGTTAGTTTACTGGTTTTTACTTATGTAGGTACAGTTGTGTAATTAAAATTAAGTGTGTATGAAAAGTTTAATTTCATAGAAAAGTTTCTATATGTATTACTGTAATTTTAAATTTATGCTGACTAGGTCTAATAAATGTGTGCATTCACTGGTCACCAAGAGTAAACAAATGCACACCGTTGGGGTATAGCTTAGCACACATTGGAACGACAATATTGGAGCAATGCATAAGAACTGCTGCAGAAAGTCACACTGTATGACAACAGAACCAATTATCGTGTATGTGATTGGTGTCATCACCTGCTAATCATTTTCCCAACTGTTTATGAGTGATGACTCTTGGATTTAAATATGTAGACTATAGTTGTAGATAAGTAATATATATATATATATATATATATATATTTTTTTTTTTTTTTTAAATCCTCACCTGAGGATATTTTTCCATTGATTTTCAGATAAAGTGGGAGGGTGAGAAGGAGGGAGGGAGGGAGAGAGGGAGAGAGAGAGAGAGAGAGAGAGAGGGAGAGAAAACATACATCGATATGAGAGAGACATATCGATTGGTTGCCCCCTGCACAACCCCTACCAGGGCTGGGTATTGAACCACAACTGAGGTACATGCCCTTGACCTGAATCAAACTCATGACTCTGGTCCTCTCTAACTGCCGACGCTCTTAACTGCCGAGCAAAACCAGCTAGGGCTAGGTAAGTAACGTTTATGTCGGCAAAATTACTTCAGTGTTTTTTCCAGTGTAGGGCCTATTTCCTAACATTTGTTTAAAATAACAGTGAATTAATAACAGCAACAAAAAAAACCTGTTAATTTAATTATAAGCAAATCTTGGTTAAAAGCATTTTTAAATTAACAGGGTGTTAATTTTAACATGACATACAGACTCGAAATTTTGCCCATTAATTCTAAAGTCCATTAAATCGAGGTTCTCAAAATCGAAAATTTACTGTATTTGAGCAGAAATCCCCATTTCATCTTCTCCACTTCCCCTGATAATTTGAGTTTACTTTGCCAGGAGTTTTTTTTCCTTAATGCGAGTCTATATACACAATTTACATTAAAAAACAAGAACAAAATCCTGATACTGTTTTCTGTGACTTGGTGAGTACACAGTTGTTTTTCTATTTTGAACACGTGGATTTCCTTCTCTCTACTGTTCTGTTTTCTGCCATACATATATCCCTTTGGTTCCCTTTCTCTGCTCTTTTTCTTTTCCAGAGTACTCATTTCTTAACATGCTCTGTAATTTACACGTCTGATATGTTTACTCTTTGTTTCCCACCTTGAGCATGTAGTCACCAGTAGGCAGGAATCTTTGTTCACTGATGATTTCAGCTGTCTAGAACCATGCTTAGCATAATAGCAGGTTATCAGTAAAACATTTGTTGAACAGGTAAATGAATGGCTCCATGATAACATTTCTAAGGGTCTAGCTAACTCCATTCTCTATTGGACACAGGTTTTTTGGTTATAATAAGCAATACTGCAATAACCATCTTTTCATATGTCTTTTGTTTCTCAACTTGGAACACATTTCTTTTATGAGCTTTACATTGTTTTTGTTCTTCCTCATTAGTTTGAGTCACTTACAGAGGGCCCTTCATTTAGTTTAGTCTCTGTCCAGGGCAGGGAATCCTGGAAGCCTTTGTCTATCTCTGTCTGAATACTGTTAGTTGTAAGAAGTGCTGCCTCTCTGAGTAGTTGCTCCTGTTTTGCTGTGATGAAAACTGCTTCTTTTTACTGTCTACCTACCGTCTTCATTCTGCCACCTGGGCCAGGCAGGATAAGCCTGCTTCCTGTTCCACATGATGGTCCTTCAGCTGTTTGACACAGTGGCTGCAGCTCCCTGGGATGACAGGTTTTCAGGGTGTGCGTGCATGTACTTATTTTGGTTTTGAGAAAGTACCACGTTGTTTGTAGCTCTGAATCTATGTGAATTTTTAAATATTTATCCAATGTACTTTTTAGGGAGTGTCGTGAAGAGTGAAGACTTTTCTCTCCCGAGTTATGTCGATCGGCGTGACTACCCCTTGCCTGATGTGGCCCACGTCAAGACCCTTTCTGCCAGCCAGAAGGCCTTGAAAGAGAAGGAGAAGAACCCCTGGAGCAGTCTGTCAATTGATGAAAAAGTTGAATGTGGGTACTGAAAGGCAGTGAGGCACACCGTGGGAGGGAGAATGTGTACTGTGAGCCCCAGGGCACAGAGACCAGCATGCGCTGGAGGCTCGGCGTGGCGCGTTTCTGTGGGGCTGCTTCAGGAGGCAGTTTCTGGGCCTGGACCTCTGCCCAGGCCCCTTTGTGTCTATGGGGCTCCAGCCCCTGGGGAGAAGCATGAACATGGATGCAAAGCAGCTGAGTTTGGGTCATTCCAGTGTGTAGCATGTGGATACAATGTCTCAGTGCCTCTGCTGGGGGAGGAGGGCTGGGTTTACTGTAAATTATTGATGGAAGATCAGCAAGACATTGTCAGGTAGGAAAGGAGAATGAAAATAATGTGATTAAGTTGATCCTTATACTGTAATCAATAGAAGAATTTGTTTTTTAATTTCTTTAATTTTTTTTTTTAACCAAAGCAAACTCCATGCATTTTCTTCCCTCCTTCACCCCTTATGTGTGCAAGTGCATGAGCATTTTACGGCCTCGGGCCTTTTTGTCGAATTCCTTAGTTCCATATTCATCCCTCACCGTCGCAAGGAGAAACGGTGGAGCACCGTGGGCGAGGGCGTGATTGGTCCACAGAACTCGTTATGCCCACAAATGGCTATTCTTTCTGCTTCCAGTGTATCGCATTAAGTTCAATGAGAGCTTTGCTGAAATGAACAGGAGCACGAATGAGTGGAAGACAATCGTGGGCGCTGCCATGTTCTTCATCGGCTTCACTGCTCTCGTTCTGATCTGGGAGAAGCACTATGGTGAGTAGAGAGGAAATGTGGGGCCGTGTACCTGGAGTGGTTCAGCTGCAAAGACCCCAGCAGCACAGGAGCTGGAGTTAGCCGGCACAGCTTCGTCTTCCAGTGCCCAGGGGTGAGCTGGGGCAGGGGCTCCCGCGGACTAGGGACCTTCATCCCAGGATTGTTGGTCATGGTGCGCAACTGGCTGTGTGAACTGAAGTTGTGTAAGCCAGAATCTCATTCATGGTGGGCCACACTTGCTTGGTAGTGAACTACTTACCCACTTTGTACAGCACACCACGTTTTCAGTAGATGATTATCTACTCACCAGTCAGTTATTAGAAGATGATGGAGTAAAGGTTCAATGAAAGAGAAGAAAACAAGTCATTGAAGGGCCGTTTCAGCTGTTTAGGGACTGCATCTCAATAATTAGAATTCTGGGTTTGAAGACCTAATAGTTTCTCCTTAGTGTTGGGGTTGTCTGTTCATTTTAGTGCTTCCTCTCCCAGGTTCTTTCTGTCCAGGCAGGTTAGGTATTCTTCCATTCTGAGTAGGTATAATCCTGTGTTTGTGGTTTGACTGGACATGGGTTAGCAGACCTGTGCCCATCTCTTTGATCTTCTCTCAAGTCACCTTTGGCTCTGTTTATACTTTGTGCTACCCTGTAGACCCTATTATCTATGTTATAGAGAAGACATGTTCATTTTAGCTTACGTGTTTAATTGCTAATTTACAAACAAAGGAATAATTTGGAACTATCAAGAGTTTTCAGTGCCCAGAATTCAAACCCAGTGTATTTGGGTGGGCGTTGGTGTTGAGGGGCAGATGGCTTCACTGACCTGCTCGCCAGTGTGTTGTGGCAGACCTAACCCATCTAGTGCATTGCCTTAGAAACAGCTAGCCAACACAGTGTCACCTCATGAAGTTGTTTTGGACCGTAGTGTATGGCCCCATCCCGCACACCTTTGAAAAGGAGTGGGTGGCCAAGCAGACCAAGAGGATGCTCGACATGAAGGTCAGCCCGATCCAGGGCTTCTCTGCCAAGTGGGACTACGACAAGAACGAGTGGAAGAAATAGAGCCCGCCATTCACATGCCTGAACCTCGCCTCTGTCATTTCCTTGTGGTTGAGTATATTCACTGGAAACTCTTATGCTGCAGTCCCAATGCTAATAAATGAGCAGTTTACATGAAATCCTTGTGAGCGATTCCTTGATGATAACTCAATGAAATGTGTTATTTGTAACTCAGTAGGTTTTTCCCAAGTGTCTGAAGTAAGTATGTTTTGGGTATAAATGAAATGGCAAAAACAAATTGTGTACAGGGACATCATATACAAGCTAAAAATATAGATTCCTCTGATGTGGGATGTTTTAATTAGGTTTATGATGACATTTTCGTGAGTAAAATTCCTTTATCGTAGCCAGACTGGCAGAAGTCACCATGGCCACTTTTCTTCTGGGACTGACCCTCTCCCCTTGTAATGATCAGTGTTGGTTGGGGTTGGTGGACGATGAGCCTGGGAAGGGCAGGGGGTCTCAGTGGGAGACTCATTTCCCTCCACCTGCTTATGGTATGCTGTTTCCTGGCTACTCAGCCTTTGATCCAAAAAGCTACAACAAAGCCAATGCCAGGTAAGGCAGTGATTTAAGGAGTGTTATCCTGGCCCTTGGCAAGTTTAGGATTATCATCCCATTGTCTTGTTCTGCCCCGTTCGAACCCCAGTTCTCTTTGCTGGTCTCTGGAGACACGTATGGAGAAGCAGAACAGATCCTGGAACACAAGCTGCTTGGCAGGAGCTACAGAGAATCTGGTGCAAAGGGGTGTCCCAGCAGTACTGGTGTAGGAATGAGGCGAGGGTGGAGAAGCCCAGCATTAAGTTGGAACTTTGCCCCTAGAGCTTGATTAAGGGAATATCTTGGGAGGAGGGCTTTAGGTAGTTACCAGTTTTATGTTAAGCGTAGGTTATTTATTTATTTATTTTTTTATCCTCACCCAAGGACATTTTTCCACTTTTTTGTTAAGATAGAGTGGGAGGTAGAAAGAGGAAGAGAGAGAGAAACATCGATGTACGACCAACCCGGGCCGGGGACAAACTGCAACCGAGGTACGTGCCCTTAGCGGGAACCGAACTCGGGTCTCTCTGAACCGCAGGCCGACCATCTAACCGCTGAGCCAAACCGGCCAGGGCTAGAGTAGGTTAAATGTAGCCTGTGACTCTAGTGTCTTCCGGCTGTTTAGAAATGCTCTTGATCCTTTACCCTCAAAGGGCCAGCTGACTTCCCTGGGAGGCTCTCCTGCCTGGTGGGAAAGAGGAAGTGTCTGGGAGCATGGGAGTCTGGCTGGGAGATGGCTTTGGCTACAAAGCTTGGGCCTCCCACTTGGGTGTCTTCCCAAGGTGGGCTCCTATGGTGGGGCTGAGGTGCCTGACCTGGCCCAAGGGTACCCCTGGCCCATCACCTGGCTCTTAAATGACAGTTGGTGGTGTACCTACCCTGGGCCAGGCACTCCAACGCCACGGTCTCGCTCAGAACAACCCCTAGAGAAGGGGCTGTTACCCTGGGTTGCATGTTGGAACCGAATGGGCTGGAGGCAGAGGGCTTTGCTTGAGTGGAAGCGAGTAGGTGGTAGAGATGGTGTTTGAAGGTCCCTCTGCGCCCCAAGCTGCTTCTGTCCTTGAAGAGCTCCAGTCTCCCTGAGCCCGAGACTTTCCATGGAGTAATCAGGCTCTCCTGGGCCTTCCCCTTACCTTGTAGGAACCCGCTGTCTTGAACTTGCTAAGAGGATTGCCACTTGTACACCAGTTTCAGATTCCAAGATGTGACTTGGAATCTCATCCTCTTCTGTTCTCTTTGTCCTTGTGAGCTTAGTCCTTAAAAAAAAAATCCCTTTAATGTCATTTTAGTGGGAATTTAGGAGGGAGTGGAGTTAATGCTCGATTCAGCTGACCATCCTTAAGCTGGGGGTCTACTTGACCACTGATTGATCATCTACATGTCATAGGGATATAATGATGGACATGACCCTTGGGGCCCTCACCCTCAGGAAGGACAAGTAAAACATTAATGGATAAAATAAAGAGAAGATTTAACAGTGCTCCTTGGGGCTGAGGGAGGGGTGTTTGGGTGGACGTGGGAACAATTGAGCTTGGCTGGGGAGGCCTCAACGAGCAGTTAATTTACATGTGAGCTGAGACTTGAATGGGAAGGATCCACGCACCCCAAAACTTGAGTGAAGGTAGGGGTGCAGGTGGAAATAGTTCCAAACTCAAAGGACGCAAAGCCCCCCTAAGGCGGCCAAACACTTCAGGCTACTGTCAAGCTCCAGGCTGGAGGCCTCACTGGCCCTTTTCCATTTGCAAGCTCCTTTATTTGCATCTTATTTGGTGGGGATGTAGACTTTTTAAAAAAATTTTTTTATCTTCACCTGAGGATACTTTTTTTGTATTTACCTTCAGATAGAGTGGGAGGAAGAGAGGGAGAAGAGAGAGAGAAACATCGATGTGAGGGAGACACATCGACTGGCTGCCACCTACTCGACCCCAGCCGGGGCCAGGGACAAACTGCAACCGAGGTACGTGCCCTTAGCGGGAACCGAACCTGGGTCTCTCTGGACTGTGAGCCGATGCTCTAACCGCTGAGCCAAACCAGCCAGGGCTAGACTTGTTTTGATATATGGAGGTTCATAAATGTGTAGAGCAATGTGCATAGTCTCTGAGTAGCCTAAGAGATGGGCCATGCCAGGTAAGTTATTGTCTCTCAGCTTCAAAACCACCCTTCCTTACTGGCTGATGGGTGCTGGCGCCGGGATGCTGCAAACTGAATTTCAGCTTGGCCAGCTGGCTTGGCTCCTGTCATTAGGGACCCCCACGGAGCCTAGGAGGCTGGAGGAGAAAGGAGCTCTTCTTGTTTGCTTCCTGTGTCCTGTCTGTTTCCATTTCCTGTCTGCTTCCTATCGGCTTCCTGTTTACTTCCTGTGAGCGTCACTCAGCATGTGTGTTCACCCCAGCAGTGGCCGTTCTTTCTGTAGCAGCAGCCGTGCGAGTTTTTGGTTGTTTCCACACGTGCAGGGTCAGCCTAAGCATATTTGAGAAGCCCAGGCACAGGTGCAGAGCAGCACACAGCAAGGCCTGAGATGTTGAGGGGTGTGTGCATGACCTGTGCAGCTCCGAGGCTGTCAGATGGGGCTTTGAGAAGCTGTCCCGGGTCCTACGAGGTGTCACAGGGTGCTCTCTGAAAGGGAGGCATGGTTAATGGTTAATTTTTTTTTTTTTTAAAGAACAACTGAATAAAGTGAACATTTATTTTTAATTTATCTTTGATACTGGTATTGAAGGGGAAAAGCTTTAATAGGTTAGGAGTGTAGCTAGTGCTATCTTTTGAATTTCCTTGGACCCAGAGAACTTTACAGAAATTCAGTTAAGACACCTTATTGTGTCTAATTTCACTCCAAAACTTGAACTTTTCTCCAGGAGTGACCAGTACTGTTCCTGCAGGTCTCAGACATGTTTGATACTGACTCCATCCACAGTATGGTAGTTCTATTTTTATTTTATTTTATTTATTAAAAATAATATTTTTTCTTTATTGATTTTAGAGAGAGAGGAAGAGAGAGATAGAAACATTGATGAGAGAGAACATCGATTGGCTGCCTCATGCATGCTCCCCGCTGGGCCACAACCCTGGCATGTGCCCTGACCAGGAATGGAACCGGTGACCTCTTGGTGCACGGGTCGCTGCTCAACCACTGAGCCACACCGGCTGGGCGGTAGTTCTATTTTTAATGTGAGGATCCTATATACTATTTGTTATTGTGGCTGTACCAGTTTACATTCCCACCAACAGGTGCCCAAGGGTTCCCTTTTCTCTACATCCAAGCTAGCACTTGATAATTGCTCTTATCTTTTTGATAATACCCATTCTAATAGGCACGAGGTAATATCTCCTTGAGGTGTTAACTTGCATTTCTTTAATGACTAGTGATGTTAAATGTCTTTTCAGGTACCTGTTGACCTTTAGTGTATTTTCTTTGGAAACATGTCTATTCAGGTTCTTTGCCCATTTGAGGTATGGGTAATTTGTACTTGTGTCCTCATCATCCCTGCACCACAGTTCCCGACCCAGAACAGGGGCCCAGATGCCTTTTAAAGGGTTGTCTGCAACTTGCAGGTATCTCAAATCCTGCAATTGGACCTGTGGCCTGGAGAGTTAGACCTGGTATTTCAGTGGGCTGCATTCTCAGTTCTGAACAGCAGAGGGTGCGCTGAGACCTAACCCATCTGTTTGTGGAGAGGGGCGTGCAGAGCGAGCAGGGGCTTTCTTCTGGAGCTTTCTCCAGCCCAGAGGGTGAGGTATGGATGGCATAGTTGTTCACACACCCTCCTCTTCATGTGTTTTTACTCATAGTCGTACTTCATCTATAGGCAAGGGATTCCCAGGGCAGCTCTGGCCACACCGTCACTCGCCAGGCTTTAACTGATTTCCTCTCCAGCTGCTTTTTCTGTCCTGCAGAATCATCAGGCCCACGGGGACACCCTGCTCCAGGTGGCAGCTCTGTGGGCTGGAAACTTATTTCACCACCAGGGATCTTGGCATGGGCTCTGATTTGGCACAGATCCCGAAAGCCAAACATAACATACCAGGGTCTGATGTAGGCTTACAAACTGGAAAAAAATGTTTCTGAGAGCCAGTTGCAGGTAACTACTGACACCACTGCACTCTAAGTCAAAGTGCACAGGACTTTATTTATTTATTAAAATAAAAATTTTTTTAATCCTTACCAGAGGGTATTCTTCTATTTATCTTCAGATAGAGTGGGAGGGAGAGAGAGAAACATCGAGAGGGACACATAGACAGGTTGCCTCCCACATGACCCCGACCAGGGCTGGGGACAAACTGCGACCGAGGTACATGCCCTTGACTGGAACCGAACCCATGACTCATTGGTCCTCGGGCCGACGCTCTAACCGCTGAACCAAACCGGCCAGGGCAGAACTTTATTTTTGAAGCAGGCTGGCAAGGAAGGGGTTCAGTGGACGGTCGCCAACTCAGGCTGCCTGGGTCCCAGCCTTGGCTTCCTG